TACAATGCAAAAAACCGATTTCTTGATTTTTGTTATCGATTTCTTTTAGTTACAGCAAAAAATAACTCTTCAAACAACTTAACAACTTAACGTGTCATTTTTAAAAGATAAAATACATGAATACGTAGGTGTTTAGGTTTGTGTGGAAAAGACAATCCTTTTAACGTTGAAAACTATATTACAGTACATACACATACTTACTGGAATTATCAATAATATTAAAAACACATGTAGAAGGCCTTAAACTTTAATATTGTTTGCAATAATTATAAACTAACACACAATGTTTGTATATAACTTATTTTAAAAGATAAAGATGGTACAAAAATTTTGGTACAAAATTTGGTAGGCTATTTACTGCTACAATAGTTGATAGAATAATCTGATTATTAATGTTTCACATTAATTATATATGAAATTATTAAAAACTATTAAATTGCGAGACTGATTTCTTTGTGCGCTACTTTGGTGACTAGTACAACATTATCACGATTTAAGTCTACATAAATATCGTGGGAACGTTCGTTAATTGCCAGTAGTAATTACCCAAAACTCTGATCTCCGATTTCAAAAAATGTTTTGGTTGTTTCGTTTTTGTTTAAAAAAACATGTTCAAAAGTTGTAATAAGAAAATTAACTATTACAAAATAAGAAAGCACGTGTTGAAGATTTCATGTAGTATGAACTCATTTAACAAATCTATTTGTTTAAGGAGGGAGTTCATACTCACGTGATTCACTCATATTCCAAGTTGGCAAACGTAATTGGAACTTAAACCTTTAAATCAAGATGTCATTTTCTCGTTCCTCGTCCGATTGCTTGTCCAAATTAAGTAAAAACGAAGCAGATTATACAGCCAATTATGCGCCGATGTCATAAATAATATGTTGCAATTTTACTTTAGTTTTTCTTGTTTAGTCTGAAAAAAATTTAATTGATATATATAGATATACTGTATATATATATGGGTCAGTTTATTACACAATATAAAGGGAGAAAAACTGGTAATGTTTTTAGTAATTTACATCGAAAATACGAAATAGTAAGTACGCCAAATTTTGTTTAATTCCATTGGATTTTTGTATCGAAACTTAATTTTAATCTAAGTAAAAATTAATCATTTCTGGCAATTTCTTCGACAACCTAACTTCTTAAAATCGTTACTATGGGGTCAGTTATAATGGGCGCGTAGCCTGATAAAGCGGCTTTGATACATTTTTTGAATCATTATCGTTTCAACATTTTTAATTGCCATCTCTTTTATATGTTTTGATAAAATTTTTCTTTTATCAAAACATAAAAAAGAGATGGCAATTAAAAAAGGTTGACAAACACAAAATTAATATTTCTTCAGCTTGTATAAATCTATAATTATGGATATTCTTAAATAAAATTTAGAGCAACTGATTCTTAAAAATAGGACATCAGAATAACTGACATATATATGGAATTCAATTTAAAACACCATTATATGTAATAAAATCTCTAACGGCTGCATTAATTTAACCAACAGATAGTGGAAAGTCGAATTCAATCAGCATTCATTACAAGTGAGTGAGTTCTGACTGATTAATTTTGACTTTCAACTCTGTTAGTGAATTCAGCCATAATTGAAACATTATTGGTTCCACATAAAGACCTACCAATACAGAGAGATTATACTATGTATTGCAGTTGTTTGTCGGTTTCAATTAAAACAGTTCAATTTAGAAGTGTCCAATATGTAGGAGGATGCGATTGAGAGATTTTATTGTAAATGCAATTAATTCTGTAGTCAAAAACCATTCATTTTTCCGTCAAATCCATTTTAAAACTAAAAATCTTGGATTTTGTGACGTTATTGTACAGACAAAGCAAAGAATTCGTTGTTATGCAACTTACAATTGGTTTACAAAGAGATTTAAAAAGTTTTATTTTTAAATTTAAATTTTAAAATATTAAATCACTACTTAGGCCTAAATAGCATTAATATTAATTTTTCCAATAACAGATATTACTGAACTCTAGAATTCTATCCATTGTATCATTTTTATTTTATTTCTAATTGACTTATAACGAAAAATTAAATTTAGTAAATGACATCAAAACTAATTCTTTGTCTGCAGTAGTATTTCTATTCGAGAACCGTAACCGGTTAAAATTGCTAATTAGTTGAGCAATTATTTTCTCATGAGTGGTTTTATTTACAGATTCTGTAAACAAACGAATCGTGCAAGAATAATCTGTAAAAGCTGCTTGAATACCATCTAATATTTTATAATTTTTAGATAAAATCAAGAAACATCTAGAGACTGAATCCGTAGAAATGTATTAAATTCTAATAATTGAAATGTCTTAATTTAATTTCTATTAGAGCGTCGATTATCCGAAAGTCAATTATCCGAAAGAATTCCAGTCCGCAAATTTAAGTTTTCGCCAGTGCTGTGACGCTGCAATCTTTGGCTATGCCTTGGGCTACTCAAATATTTTACGTTTTTGATACTAAATTAACTTCTGAAGTATAATTTTTTATTGTTTTTATATTTTTCAATATATTTATTTTGTTTGTACAAAATAAAGAAATAACTTTTAACGATACAACAGTCTTCGTTAAACTTAACATCGACGAAAATTCAACGCGAAGTGACACGCAACAGAGAAAAATTTCAACATGGGATAGATTAATATATTTTTTCGTACGTAATCGGTTATCCGAAATATCGGGGTTTTCCCCCGAACAACCCGTCCTCAATTGATTCGGATAATCGACGCTCTACAGTATATATTATCATACAATTTGGCTATTTCCGTCCTGCGAGTAATTAGAACTTTCCCCATGTTCATTCGGGTTCGACATCATGATCGAACCTATAATGGGCAATGGGATTGTTTCACGGTGGCTGGGAGGCGAAAGATGAGCTTGACATATCTACAGTAGATCAAACTAATCATAAAAATTCCTGACCGAACTTGAATCCGAATCTTTAGAATGGCCATGAACGTTTGATCGTTCACGGCCAACGTTTGAAAATATCCCACATACACAAGCATACACAAACATTGGTGTTAACTAATACACGTAAAACTACAAAGTGCATATTCTTTTCCGAAAGTATATAAAATATTCATGTAAATTTTCATATTTTTCAATTTAAATATAATTTTATAATTTAAAATGTTCTTTTACCAAATTTGACTATGATTTTATTAAAATAATGTTCTACTTATTAAAACTTTTTTTAGCGATTGTAAGCGATGTTCAGCCAACCAAGCAGAGAGAATTCTTTTTAGGAATTCAAAAGCTCTCAAAAGGTTATTGAACAAAATAAGGATAAACTGAAATATACTAGATCAGAGGTTGGCTACCTAGGGCACGCAGAATGATTTTCAGTGACACTCTGATTGAATAGAAATGTAGTAAAAATTATGTTTTAATTATTAATTAAACATTTAAATGGAAGCCATAGTTCAGTGTAGGCCGTGGTAAATTAAAAACGAATCTCTTGTTTGTATTTTTATATTATAGCGCTTGCGTTTAGGCTCCGTGTCGCCATCTACGTGTTGTGCATGCGCTTCACATTTAAAATTATAATTCAATTAACAACTTAACTTCAAAATTATATAAATTTGAAGTCCATTATAACCGAACCAATTTTGATAATATATATAACAAAATTGGTAGAATCATGTCGGCACCCGGAATAACATTGTAATTTATGCCGCTGAAAGGTTGCCGACCCCTGTACTACATTATTAATTTAGTATAAATTTAACAGGACATTGCTAATTTTATATATTCATGCACATAACTTTCTTTTAATTTCTAAATACAAACTTTCTTATTTCAATTTCTATAACTTTTTGGCTTTCTTTTTCTGCGTGGATTTGCATAAAAACAACGTTTCTTTACAATTTTCGAAGATTTTACACATTATTAATTTGATTCATAAATCTTTTCCTTCAGTAATACAAAGCTACAGCAGAAATTACTGTCGTAGGTTTTTCATCAGCGAGAACGTGAGATTTTGCATACAAGAACTTGAGAATATAAAAACATCTACAGAACCTAGTACAGAACTATATGAAATTTATTAGTACGACACGAAAAAACAAAGCCACATGTTATTAAAAGAACTATTCTAATAATCCTATTATTATCTACGAGTAAATTATTAGTTTTTAAGACAATAAAATTATTGGATAGATATCAACAATGTTAACAACCGAATGTAAGCAGAGAAAAAAAGGATGATTTTCTAACCGGTTTGGTTAAATGATTGCTTGAATTAACTTGCACTCGGCGATTCCGAGTTACTTGAATTAGATTTTTGACATAAAAAAAGCATTATTAAATATTTAAACATTAATTAAATTGCTTTTTAACTCTTCAAAAAACTGAAAATAATTGTTTTTAAACATATTTAATTTAAATACATAACACTGTAATTCAATTATAGAATATATCTCCACATTAGTCTCATCAAAAATTATTTATCGGTTTTGTTTTTCTTTAAATTCTTTTTACTCTGTAGGAACTGAGAGCCATTTTTGTGCCATTCGTGGATTCTAGACAATCTTATAATAGATATAAGGTACAATACGGCGATATATTTTGAATTTATGGTTATGATTTCTTTTTAAATAATGTCTTTCACTCGAACAAAGTGAATTAGAATCCAAAAACTAAACTGCCAGATATGTCCTTTGAACATATATCAAAAATTTTAATTTATAAAGATTACACAGAATTGCCCAAAAATCAGTTAACCGTTGTAAAGACTAAATTAGTACTTTATTCGGATAATTAAATACCTTGTCATATTTTTTGTCTTGCTCCTATCAATTTTGAGAGAGAAAGACATCCTGAATAGCTTGGTCTAATCTCTCGAAAAATTACATTTCTATAAGTGTACTTTAAACACAAAAAACGGAATTAACTGAATTTTGAACCATCCTGTGTATTTAATTCGAATTACGAATTTACAGTTTTAGGTAAAGTAAACTTGAAATTCTCTTGTTAGATGGTAGTAGCCATAGTTGTAATATTCATCGGAGGATATTTCTGTGGTGTTAACGTCGCCTACGCACAAAGAGGACAAAAGCATTTAAACACGGGACCTTCTTCAGGTAATTCATACTAAATGTATAATTTTTCTATATTTAAACATTATAAACGAAATATAATTGATTGTTTAAAACAGAAAAACTAACGGAGCAAACCGGTCCGTGGTATCAGCAGCCGTGTTTTCCCGAAAGGAACATCTGCCCTTCAGAGTATTTACCTTAATTTTCACTCTTAAAATCTCAACTTAAACTATTATTCTAAACTTATTCTATAGTTTCAGGAATCCCCCATTATTATTAATTTCTTTAGATGGTTTTCGACCAGATTATTTTGACAAAACACCAACGCTCAAACGTTTAGCTCATTGTGGAGCGAGTGCACCATACATGAAGCCCGTGTTCCCTACAAAAACATTTCCTAATCATTATTCAATTGTAACGGTAAGATTTTAAGTAAATAATATCTAGAATGGATAATAAGCAAGTTATTAATTAACGAGAAAAAAATATCTCAGGGGTTGTATCCTGAATCACACGGGATAATTGACAACAATATCTATGATCCAAAACTTAGAAGATTGTTCAGCGTAAGACGGGGACAAGATAATTACAACCCCATCTGGTGGGAAGCGGAACCGGTACGTCATTTTAAGTTTTTTTTTTTTTTTTTTTAAATACTTTTAAATGAATTTATAATTTAACTACCATATTAAACAGTTGTGGGTGACGGCTGAGAAACAAGGAAAGATAACAGGTACTTATTTTTGGCCTGGATCGGAAATCAAAATTAACGGAACTCGACCAACATATTACATTAAGTATAATAAGTAAGTGTAATTCCGTGCTCTGTGCAAATCAATATTTCGTGAAATTTTCAAGCTTATAATTAAATGACTAGTTATTATAGGGTGGCCCAAAAGTCACTTAACTGTTTTCAGATTATACTGATGGGTAAAGACAACACATGTGGACGATCTGCATGACAGGATGCCTCCCGAGAGGACTTTCTATGGAAAACGAGCCCCTATTTAGATGTTAGGGTGCGACTGTGCAGACGCGAGCGAGCGAATTTTCTGAGAGCGAGAATATGTGGCGAAAAGAGGCGAGACGCGATAAATACAGTATCAAAACCTGTCAGATATGTGCGAGAACTAGAAATTCGCTCTCGCTAGCGTTATTTCTCGCTTTTCGTTTGTGCATGGTTATCCTTTGCGAAAACTAAATCGCTCGCAAGTCGCAACCTCTCGCTCGCTCTAAATTCGCGTCTTCCTAGTCGCATCCTTAGACACGAAAACTTCACTCGTCTAGCTCTTTGGTGAGGCTCGAATACGTGACCAGAGTTCATCGGTTTTATCTACCGGTCACTGGAGGGCTCTTAATTATTTTATGTTTTAATTGGGGCCATATGCAAATATTTAATACTCAAATTTTGTCATTATTATTTAAAAACACACTGACCTAGTTGCAGAAATTACTGGAAAATTCACGATTAACTGACTTCTGGACTACACTTTATTTTGCTTACTTTTTAATTTTCGAAATTAATATTTTAAAATAGCAAAGTTAGTTGGAAAACTCGATTAGACACCATTTTATCGTGGTTAGAATTACCAGAGGAAAGTAGACCATCTTTTTTGACTTTGTACATTAACGAACCCGATCACGCCAGCCATGCACATGGACCAGAATCTCCACAAGTATGTTAAGAATTCAAGCAAAAAATAAATAAATAATAATAATAATAAAGAAATAAAAAAAACGCTTAACATAGTTTCTTGTTACAGGTGAATGCAGTTTTAGCAAAATTGGATTCTTTTATTGAACTCATGATCACGTCTCTGCAACAGAGAAATTTATTGGGCTGTATCAATATCATTATAGTCTCGGATCATGGTAAAACATTTCGTTTTCCCCATTCAAATTTACATTTTATATTTATTTAATTAAACAAACAAGATGTTAAACATGTACTGTACAGTACTTTCAAAAATATTTTTCAATATATTTCAATAAACCTTTGATCGACAAATAAAAATTATTTTAGGAATGGCAAAAAGCGATTGCAACAAAGTTATCGAATTAGATAATTACATCAATTCTTCGGAAGTTTTCCTATCTCCTGGACCTATAGGAAAGATCCGTCCTAAAGGAAAAAGTAAGGATATCTTTTATAAGTTGAAATATATTTGGTAATTTGTGGTAAAGCTTGTGGCTACTATAAACTGTGATATTTGTCTCTTCCATTACGAAAACCTACATTTTCGCTATAGCCATATTTGCGACACCCACTTTTTAAAATTAAATTTGAAGTTTTTTGCCCCGAGGATACTAACTTAAGAGGAAGTCTTTTCCTCAGATGAATCATGTAAGTTCGATCAGGTTCGCAATGGGGTTATAGGGTTAAAAAGACCCTCTTAGCGCCCACAGGGCATTGAATTTAAAAAAAAGCAACAAGTCTCAACCATCCAGCCGCTTGCTAGTTCTTTCTACAACAAATAAATAAATAAATAAACACTGTTGAATACGGATTAATAGAGAAAAGTAACGATTCGCCAATGCCAAATTATATGTTGTGTTCGATATCACGATCAATTACTTTATACAAGATATATGATAACAAGCAATAATTGCCAATGCGTTGTCTAACGACACTAACAATCATAGCTTATACTTGTGAGCACTATGTTGGCCTTTCTTTATTGCTACAGTTATTACACCGTCACTGGGCACAAGATCAGCCTTAGAAAATTACTTTATTTTTCCAAAATCGTAATCGTAGCTTAATGTTTTCAAAATACAGTAGAACCTCGATTATCCGGACCACTATTATCCGGATTGTTCAAAATAAACAACAATTTTACGAATTTGCTGATTTGCACTTGGCGAATTACGACACTGTTTACGTTCGTAATGGAATGCATAACATTTTTTGTTTCAACAACGTCTCACCTGGCACAGTGTTCGTAAACTCTTAAATATATTTTGCGTCGTAATAAAAATATATCTTGACATACGTATTTATAAATAATTTATATTCAAATTACATCATTTCTATGACCAAGGGCGGCGTAAGGCATGGACGACGTGGGCCACCGCCTATGCCTCGCGGTCCGAAGGGCCTCGCGCCTCGAAGGTTTATGCATTACTTAAAAGCCGCGAACGCGACGAAAAAATTTTACTCGTCATAAAACGATAAATAGTTTGTCAAATTTTTATTCATAAAAATGCAGTTTCAACTGCTTTTTATTTTATAAAATCCGTACTCTTGAGCCGCCAGAGGGCCTTTTAAACAATAGGTAGTCTGTTAGCGCTGGTCAGTAATAGTCCAAATTCAATAAAACATTTGTTTCTTGAAAATTTGATGACGATTTAAATACATTTAAATATTTTAATATTACCGATATGCCATCGAAAAGAAAACGTGTTGTATTATCATTAAAAGACAAATTAAAGTATTTCTTTCGATTATCCAAATTTTTCCTTATCCGGACTACCTTCATCCCCAATTAGTCCGGATAATCGAGGTTCTACTGTACTAATTTTCAATCGAACTCACACTCAGTAGAAAAAAGAATTACTAAAATCGTCACTAAACATCTTTGGCTGCTGGGACACATTTATTTTCTTGTACACTAACGTTTTAAACTTACGCATTAAGCGTGAGTCAACGTTAGTGTAAAAAGTGAAAACGTTAGTGTATAACCAAATACATGTCTCAGCAACTACAGGTGTTTAGTGATGGTGTTATTAATTACTAATTTTTATCTAGCAGATTCTTTGGAAATAACCGGAATTGATTCGAAATCTATTATATTGAGGTCCGTAAAATCAGGAGTCAACAGTATCGTGTGTTTTGATCCTAATATATAAACATGTTTAATTAATCTTTGAATATTCGCTTTAGCTGTCGATCTCATCCTGTAAGAAACTATTTTATTTATTGACACTGGATTATTATTTACTGATCTTATTATCATGGACTACTTTGAAATTTTTATCTTATCAATAGTACTGATTATATTGTGAAAATATCTGTTCTTCTATTACTTGATACTCTTACTGTTAAGTTTTACACCAATATTAATACTGGTGTAAAACTGAACATTAAGTTATATACTTATCAACAACTACTGCAAAATATATACTGTATATTAAAAAGATGGTTAAATTTCAGGAACTGTTGAAAGTGTAGTAGAAATCCTTCGTTGCAACAGACCAGAATTACTCGTTTATAAGAAAAATGATCTGCCAAAACGTTATCATTATTCATATAATAATAAAATAGAACCCATTATCATCGATCTTCCTACAGGATGGGCCATAGAAAAGTAAGCTTAATAATTTTACAATTGACTTCTATCAAAAAGATCCCAACAATCTTTAACGGTTTGGCCCTCACTGAAATTGGCTGAAAGTTTAGTATGTTAGAGATTTTGACTAACAGATGTAAAGTCTCAATGGGCATGAAGCTCGAAAATGGCTACTTTTTTTCCTAGAGCCGTTCGAATTTATAGATATATGTACAGAGTGGTAAAAAAGTCTTCTCTGGCCAATTATTTCAAAAATTAATGGGAAGATCATTGTAGATGAAAAATTAAATGCACCTTTCAATCTATTCCGAAATATCAAGTATTAATAGGATCTCGAAAAGAACGGTAAAATATGACTAACATAAATACTTCATTACACAACACACGGGTAGCAGTGCATTACTGCATACCATAAATGAAAAGCGGGAATGGTTAAAATTTTTTAACTCTGTTCGCCCCCTTTTTTTATTTTTTAAAAACTTTTTCCGACCTGTGGCTCTAAGAGGGCCTCTCTTAATTAACAATCCCACTATGAGTTCGGCCAGGCCCACAATGAGGCGGCCGGGTGGTGAGGGACGGAACCCGATACATTCTAACGAACCACCTGAAAACTTCCTGGTGATTTTTCGACCCATCCAGATTCGATCTCTGGTCTTTTAGAGCGGTAGGTTGCCACCTTGACTGCTCGGACATCCGGCCATCGGAACGGTTGAATGTGCAGTTAAGTTAACAATGATGCGATTATAAAAAAGCTGACAAGGGCTCCTTCAGGCACTCAAAGGATATTAAGGAGAATATTAGAAAATCCGATCATTTTCAATTATACTAGAATGTGAAATTTAAGTAATAACAAACGCCTAGAATGAGTAATTTTGTTGATACGGTATATGATAAAAATCTCCATTTAAAAAAAAGTACAAGTTTAAAAAACACTGTGACACTAGCTCAAAGTTAAAATTGTGTATGGCGCCAACTGTTACGAATTGTTAATATAACAATTCGTAACAGTTGGCAAAACGGCTTAATTTTGAGGATAACGACGCATTTTTAAAGGTATTGTAAACGCCAATAACGAGTAAAAGTTTCATTAAGTCTGACTCCACTCGAGATATGTATGACAACTCTGTCTTCCCACCATCTCGAGTTCCATACTCCAAAATTTAATAGTCTCAATTCTGCTTTTAAAAGTTACTATACCAAATTTCGTTTCTTAATCTTTATTCCATCCAGACGAAACAAACATGCACCTAAGACAATTCTTCCTCCTNTAAATGAAAAAAAAAAAAAAAAAAAAAACCCAGAGGGTCAAATTTAATACAACACGATTAGAATAATTTTCCGTGTTATGTTATAACAACCATTGTTATGTTATAACAATGGTGATTAGGTTAGAGCTGTTTTATTTAATGATGTTTTGATATATTCTGTTAAATCACATTAATGTTAATAATAATGTTTATATTAATGTTAATAAAAGAAAAATAATAATCTAACCTAATCACCATGTCACTACTAATCTAAAAGTAATCGCAGATTCAACCACTCCTACATTGCATTTGTGTTATGCAGCGAAGCATTTTCCTGCCATATTTGAAAGCCTGTTCCGGAATATCACTAGATATTTAGGAATGCATTAAATAATAATAGTACTGTAATAGTAATTTACTCAATAAAACTTATGAAATAGTTTTTCCAGAAGTCAAAAGTAATAAGAGGCACTCTTTCATATGGGGACTGCATTTCGGGCATTTTTTGACCTTCTTCAGTCCAATTTCTTAAGAAGTTCTCATTCAGCATCACATTCACTATAGAATTTTCTAACATTCAAATTCTTTTTGTGCATTACGCTTTACGTAGCATTATTTGTCTTATTCTGTTTTCTGTTATGACATTTACATCTTGTTGAGTGTCATTTTCGGAAAATAGTTTAATCGAACATACAATTAAAAAAGAGCGTGAGTGAAGAAAGTAATTTCCCTATTAGTTTTTGAAATAATTGGTCGGGGAGAGACTTTTGCTATCACTCTGTTTATACATCTGTAATATATTCAAACGGTTTTAGAAAAAAAAAGGTAATTTTCAAGCTTTGTATCTATTGAGACTTTACATCCATTAGTCAAGAACTATAACATACTTGTATTTGAATTCAACCAATTTCTCTAAGAGTCAAAACCCATAAGGATTGAGCGAGGTTCTTTATTTCTCCAACTTCTTTACAGCACGTATTTCTTTGCCTCCTTTTATTGGAGCTCGACACACAGTTTCTATCCAGCTCATCTTTCTTAAGAATAATTTGGTTTAACAGGATACTGAAACGCTACACGTGAGAGATCTTCCAAAGGGATTGCCTTTCGGGAGGAGTTTCTGTGAGAAGCTGGCCCTTATGGAGCACTGGAACACTGGTCGCGAGTTTACTAAGTTTTATCCACTCAGCGACTGGTAGGTTCCCCAAGAATGAACTGGATCAAAACTGTGTTGAGAATAGGCTGAAAACACAAAAGTGCTAAGATTTTAGTAGAATTTTTCGTCCTAAACTCCGAAAAAGCAGCAGAGAACTATGCGTGGTAATTCACTTTGTAAATCCATCTAAATTTTACAGTACAGTACCTTGTCAGTTAGAGTAATCTAATATACAGTAATTCCATTTTACAATAACTTAAAGTTCATCAATAAAATTAAACTTATAATAATCCTAATTTATAATATAGTAATTTTACAGTAATACTATTTTGTAGTAAATTCGATGCGAGGAGATGTCGAGGAGGAAACCATGGATACGATTATTTACATCCCGAAATGAATGTAATTTCTCTAATAAATATTAAGATAATTCTTGATTTAATTTGAAAATTATTCATTTTTTCCCTTTTAATGAAAATTTGCAGGCAATATTTTTAGCTTTCGGACCTTCGTTTAAGAAGAATCTTCTAGTGGAACCATTTATAAATATAGAACTTTACGAATTAATGGCAGGTAAGCTTACAAAGCACAGTTCAAAAGTCAGTTAACCGTGTTTGTTTTGCGTCCCAAGTGCAGTTGTGAAAATTAATTATAAACTATTTACTNGGTAAAACATTTCGTTTTCCCCATTCAAATTTACATTTTATATTTATTTAATTAAACAAACAAGATGTTAAACATGTACTGTACAGTACTTTCAAAAATATTTTTCAATATATTACAATAAACCTTTGATCGACAAATAAAAATTATTTTAGGAATGGCAAAAAGCGATTGCAACAAAGTTATCGAATTAGATAATTACATCAATTCTTCGGAAGTTTTCCTATCTCCTGGACCTATAGGAAAGATCCGTCCTAAAGGAAAAAGTAAGGATATCTTTTATAAGTTGAAATATATTTGGTAATTTGTGGTAAAGCTTGTGGCTACTATAAACTGTGATATTTGTCTCTTCCATTACGAAAACCTACATTTTCGCTATAGCCATATTTGCGACACCCACTTTTTAAAATTAAATTTGAAGTTTTTTGCCCCGAGGATACTAACTTAAGAGGAAGTCTTTTCCTCAGATGAATCATGTAAGTTCGATCAGGTTCGCAATGGGGTTATAGGGTTAAAAAGACCCTCTTAGCGCCCACAGGGCATTGAATTTAAAAAAAAGCAACAAGTCTCAACCATCCAGCCGCTTGCTAGTTCTTTCTACAACAAATAAATAAATAAATAAATACTGTTGAATACGGATTAATAGAGAAAAGTAACGATTCGCCAATGCCAAATTATATGTTGTGTTCGATATCACGATCAATTACTTTATACAAGATATATGATAACAAGCAATAATTGCCAATGCGTTGTCTAACGACACTAACAATCATAGCTTATACTTGTGAGCACTATGTTGGCCTTTCTTTATTGCTACAGTTATTACACCGTCACTGGGCACAAGATCAGCCTTAGAAAATTACTTTATTTTTCCAAAATCGTAATCGTAGCTTAATGTTTTCAAAATACAGTAGAACCTCGATTATCCGGACCACTATTATCCGGATTGTTCAAAATAAACAACAATTTTACGAATTTGCTGATTTGCACTTGGCGAATTACGACACTGTTTACGTTCGTGATGGAATGCATAACATTTTTTGTTTCAACAACGTCTCACCTGGCACAGTGTTCGTAAACTCTTAAATATATTTTGCGTCGTAATAAAAATATCTTGACATACGTATTTATAAATAATTTATATTCAAATTACATCATTTCTATGACCAAGGGCGGCGTAAGGCATGGGCAACGTGGGCCATTGCCTATGCCTCGCGGTCCGAAGGGCCTCGTGCCTCGAAGGTTTATGCATTACTTAAAAGCCGAGAACGCGACGAAAAAATTTTACTCGTCATAAAACGATAAATAGTTTGTCAAATTTTTATTCATAAAAATGCAGTTTCAACTGCTTTTTATTTTATAAAATCCGTCTTCTTGAGCCGCCAGAGGGCCTTTTAAACAATAGGTAGTCTGTTAGCGCTGGTCAGTAGTAGTCCAAATTCAATAAAACATTTGTTTCTTGAAAATTTGATACGATTTAAATACAGTATTTATTTTAATATTACCGATATGCCATCGAAAAGAAAACGTGTTGTATTATCATTAAAAGACAAATTAAAGTATTTCTTTCGATTATCCAAATTTTTCCTTATCCGGACTACCTTCATCCCCAATTAGTCCGGATAATCGAGGTTCTACTGTACTAATTTTCAATCGAACTCACACTCAGTAGAAAAAAGAATTACTAAAATCGTCACTAAACATCTTTGGCTGCTGGGACACATTTATTTTCTTGTACACTAACGTTTTAAACTTACGCATTAAGCGTGAGTCAACGTTAGTGTAAAAAGTGAAAACGTTAGTGTATAACCAAATACATGTCTCAGCAACTACAGGTGTTTAGTGATGGTGTTATTAATTACTAATTTTTATCTAGCAGATTCTTTGGAAATAACCGGAATTGATTCGAAATCTATTATATTGAGGTCCGTAAAATCAGGAGTCAACAGTATCGTGTGTTTTGATCCTAATATATAAACATGTTTAATTAATCTTTGAATATTCGCTTTAGCTGTCGATCTCATCCTGTAAGAAACTATTTTATTTATTGACACTGGATTATTATTTACTGATCTTATTATCATGGACTACTTTGAAATTTTTATCTTATCAATAGTACTGATTATATTGTGAAAATATCTGTTCTTCTATTACTTGATACTCTTACTGTTAAGTTTTACACCAATATTAATACTGGTGTAAAACTGAACATTAAGTTATATACTTATCAACAACTACTGCAAAATATATACTGTATATTAAAAAGATGGTTAAATTTCAGGAACTGTTGAAAGTGTAGTAGAAATCCTTCGTTGCAACAGACCAGAATTACTCGTTTATAAGAAAAATGATCTGCCAAAACGTTATCATTATTCATATAATAATAAAATAGAACCCATTATCATCGATCTTCCTACAGGATGGGCCATAGAAAAGTAAGCTTAATAATTTTACAATTGACTTCTATCAAAAAGATCCCAACAATCTTTAACGGTTTGGCCCTCACTGAAATTGGCTGAAAGTTTAGTATGTTAGAGATTTTGACTAACAGATGTAAAGTCTCAATGGGCATGAAGCTCGAAAATGGCTACTTTTTTTCCTAGAGCCGTTCGAATTTATAGATATATGTACAGAGTGGTAAAAAAGTCTTCTCTGGCCAATTATTTCAAAAATTAATGGGAAGATCATTGTAGATGAAAAATTAAATGCACCTTTCAATCTATTCCGAAATATCAAGTATTAATAGGATCTCGAAAAGAACGGTAAAATATGACTAACATAAATACTTCATTACACAACACACGGGTAGCAGTGCATTACTGCATACCATAAATGAAAAGCGGGAATGGTTAAAATTTTTTAACTCTGTTCGCCCCCTACAAAGCACAGTTCAAAAGTCAGTTAACCGTGTTTGTTTTGCGTCCCAAGTGCAGTTGTGAAAATTAATTATAAACTATTTACTAATTATTAAACTATTAATTATAAACTATTTACTCCAAATTAGCTATAGGAGATAAGGTGATTTTTCGAACCATCCAGATTCGATCTCTGGTCTTTTAGAGCGGTAGGTTGCCACCTTGACTGCTCGGACATCCGGCCATCGGAACGGTTGAATGTGCAGTTAAGTTAACAATGATGCGATTATAAAACAGCTGACAAGGGCTCCTTCAGGCACTCAAAGGATATTAAGGAGAATATTAGAAAATCCGATCATTTTCAATTATACTAGAATGTGAAATTTAAGTAATAACAAACGCCTAGAATGAGTAATTTTGTTGATACGGTATATGATAAAAATCTCCATTTAAAAAAAAGTACAAGTTTAAAAAACACTGTGACACTAGCTCAAAGTTAAAATTGTGTATGGCGCCAACTGTTACGAATTGTTAATATAACAATTCGTAACAGTTGGCAAAACGGCTTAATTTTGAGGATAACGACGCATTTTTAAAGGTATTGTAAACGCCAATAACGAGTAAAAGTTTCATTAAGTCTGACTCCACTCGAGATATGTATGACAACTCTGTCTTCCCACCATCTCGAGTTCCATACTCCAAAATTTAATAGTCTCAATTCTGCTTTTAAAAGTTACTATACCAAATTTCGTTTCTTAATCTTTATTCCATCCAGACGAAACAAACATGCACCTAAGACAATTCTTCCCCCTTTTTTGACGTTTTTGGTTCAGGGGTCTCAAAACATCGAGATTTGCAAAAAAAAAAAAAAAAAAAACCCAGAGGGTCAAATTTAATACAACACGATTAGAATAATTTTCCGTGTTATGTTATAACAACCATTGTTATGTTATAACAATGGTGATTAGGTTAGAGCTGTTTTATTTAATGATGTTTTGATATATTCTGTTAAATCACATTTATTTTTGTTTTGTTTAAAAACAAAAATAATGTGATTTAACAGAATATATCAAAACATCATTAAATAAAACAGCTCTAACCTAATCACCATGTCACTACTAATCTAAAAGTAATCGCAGATTCAACCACTCCTACATTGCATTTGTGTTATGCAGCGAAGCATTTTCCTGCCATATTTGAAAGCCTGTTCCGGAATATCACTAGATATTTAGGAATGCATTAAATAATAATAGTACTGGAATAGTAATTTACTCAATAAAACTTATGAAATAGTTTTTCCAGAAGTCAAAAGTAATAAGAGGCACTCTTTCATATGGGGACTGCATTTCGGGCATTTTTTGACCTTCTTCAGTCCAATTTCTTAAGAAGTTCTCATTCAGCATCACATTCACTATAGAATTTTCTAACATTCAAATTCTTTTTGTGCATTACGCTTTACGTAGCATTATTTGTCTTATTCTGTTTTCTGTTATGACATTTACATCTTGTTGAGTGTCGCTTTCGGAAAATAGTTTAATCGAACATACAAGTAAAAAAGAGCGTGAGTGAAGAAAGTAATTTCCCTATTAGTTTTTGAAATAATTGGTCGGGGAGAGACTTTTGCTATCACTCTGTTTATACATCTGTAATATATTCAAACGGTTTTAGAAAAAAAAGTAATTTTTAAGCTTTGTATCTATTGAGACTTTACATCCATTAGTCAAGAACTATAACATACTTGTATTTGAATTCAACCAATTTCTCTAAGAGTCAAAACCCATAAGGATTGAGCGAGGTTCTTTATTTCTCCAACTTCTTTACAGCACGTATTTCTTTGCCTCCTTTTATTGGAGCTCGACACACAGTTTCTATCCAGCTCATCTTTCTTAAGAATAATTTGGTTTAACAGGATACTGAAACGCTACACGTGAGAGATCTTCCAAAGGGATTGCCTTTCGGGAGGAGTTTCTGTGAGAAGCTGGCCCTTATGGAGCACTGGAACACTGGTCGCGAGTTTACTAAGTTTTATCCACTCAGCGACTGGTAGGTTCCCCAAGAATGAACTGGATCAAAACTGTGTTGAGAATAGGCTGAAAACACAAAAGTGCTAAGATTTTAGTAGAATTTTTCGTCCTAAACTCCGAAAAAGCAGCAGAGAACTATGCGTGGTAATTCACTTTGTAAATCCATCTAAATTTTACAGTACAGTACCTTGTCAGTTAGAGTAATCTAATATACAGTAATTCCATTTTACAATAACTTAAAGTTCATCAATAAAATTAAACTTATAATAATCCTAATTTATAATATAGTAATTTTACAGTAATACTATTTTGTAGTAAATTCGATGCGAGGAGATGTCGAGGAGGAAACCATGGATACGATTATTTACATCCCGAAATGAATGTAATTTCTCTAATAAATATTAAGATAATTCTTGATTTAATTTGAAAATTATTCATTTTTTCCCTTTTAATGAAAATTTGCAGGCAATATTTTTAGCTTTCGGACCTTCGTTTAAGAAGAATCTTCTAGTGGAACCATTTATAAATATAGAACTTTACGAATTAATGGCAGGTAAGCTTACAAAGCACAGTTCAAAAGTCAGTTAACCGTGTTTGTTTTGCGTCCCAAGTGCAGTTGTGAAAATTAATTATAAACTATTTACTAATTATTAAACTATTAATTATAAACTATTTACTCCAAATTAGCTATAGGAGATAAGCAATTTAGTTTTTACAAAAGTTAACTGACTTATGGATAACTCTGCTTCTTAAAACTTTAAATTTAAGAAACTTATATCATTTCATTCTAGTAGCCTTAATATACAATCTTATACCATAGAGGTCAAGAAAGCATACTCTTACTTAAAAATGTTCCTTCGTAGAATATATAAGCAAGCTATTTGATATAGTGGCCAAAAAGTCAGTTAACCATTGTAGAAACTAAGCTGCTGTCTGATTTAAATATTTTATTACTTATAAACTTCGTAAAAAGTATTCCAAACAGGATTCTTCGTGTTCTTGTTCGATAAAAAAATTACTATGCTAGAAATTGCTATGCTGGTTATCTCATTTTTTGGGCCGTCTTATACATCGATGAATTTTGATATACAGAAGTAATTTTTTTCTTTAAATATTTTTAAAATTAGAACTGATAGATGTAATTCCGAATCCGAATAACGGTTCTAAGGGAAGTTTGCACTATATCCTGAATAATCCTAAGACACTTTCTGCTTCTTCGATGCATAAAGCTATCACGGCGTGCGTTATTACAAATTTGCAAAGTTCAAAATTCAAAGGATGTAACTGTCCAAATGTAAGACATTAAATTGACTAATGCAATCATTCGAATTTTGTGTTTGTTATTCTAATTAGAACCCTTTTTTTATAGGGAAGTTTACATCAAATTTCTCCACCGTCAGATTTTAAACATAAACAAGAAGTCATTCTACCATGGGGTGCACCTATGATAAAAGATTCAGAATTTACATCGATTTGTCATTTGATGAATCCCGATTACGTTACGGCATTTCATAAGAAACTGAAACAACCCTCTTGGATTTCTTTTCCCCTTACAAGAAAGGCAAAATTCATTATTATTATTAAGAGGGAAGGTCCACTTATATACAAGTTATACATAATATTTTAATTTTTAGACGTCGATAATGTCGGGTGAAGCCAGATTTTTCCATGGAAAATGCTGGATATTAGATCAAAGAATTCCATTTGAAAACCAAGCAAATTGTACAGATTACAGTATACTGAACAGAGATCATTCTGCAATACAACAACGTTCTTTATTTCCACCAGGTAATTTCCATACTTACCATTAATCATGTTTTAATAACTCACGAAGTATACGATTTTCTATTTATTTTTCAGCATTTGCTATTTCTGAAAATAGTGAATCTTCGGTGCAATTGATGACTAATGCCGTGCCAATGTACAAAACATTTCATTCGGAGATATGGACACAATTTTTGATACTTTTAAGTAAATGGACGCAAAAATATGATTCATTGAATATTATAATGGGACCGGCATTTGACGAAAGAGGCAATGGGTTAAAAATGTCAGTCGGTGAACTGCTGTAAGTACTAAATTTTAATGAATTATGAAGATATATAGAAATATTTCTTGAAAGATTTAAAATCACGAAACCGAGAATTCAAAAATGTAAAACATTTTATTTAAATGTTTATAAGCACGCGTGTATCCTAATCCTATAAAAGAAAACAATGCTTACAAAGCATTTACAATTTTATATTGATTGATTAATGTACCAGCATTTTGGGGCTACATAACTGGCCACAATTACGCCTATTACGCACGCCTGATTCGCAATGGGTAGGGTCAACCATAAAAACTGATGGTTGGGAAAGGGTGCTCCAATCCTGCTGCCCGCAATAAATTATGGAGATCGAGAGCGGTTTCTGTTTCGAATCTGAATCGGCTCAAAATTTTTCCTTGACGATTGACCAGGATCCGTTAGGCCTGTCTATCACTAAGATTGCCTCAATTATGAGCATGGCAAAAACCATGATGGATAAGAACAAAGGTCCCTCTTAGTACCCATAAAAATTTGAAAAAATTTTTTAAAATCAAATTTCCACGACAGTAAGGCACTTGGTACTTCAAATTATGATCTCAATATTTTGATAACTATGCTAATTACCCTCTTAAGTGCAAAGGTTTAGTTTGGTTTGTTGAGATACACAAGGGAGATCTGCCAAGGGATTAGAGTTTCCTACAAAGTCCTCCTGACTTTGTGAGAAACTGGGCCCTATTTATGTGCAACGCTTGAAATCTCCCCAGAAAACTCCTCGTGGCCGCCCGTTGGTCAGGCGCGAATCCTGACCAACAAACAGTGTTCAGTGGTTTACGTTTATCAACCACTGGTGGATACTTAATTGCGACGGATATATTTATTATATATGTTTTTGAATTAGTTAATTATAGATTAAAAACATTACTTAAAGAAATTATTATAAAACTAACTTTGTAATTAAATCTGATAATATTTTAAACAGAGAACGTCACAACAATAAAATTCCAATACCAACTCATTTCTTCGTTGTGATAACACGTTGCGAAGCATCTAACGTCCCATTGAATTCGTGTCGTTCGGCAGATTTAGACGTTTTATCATTTTTGATTCCTCACAAACCGTTCCCAGAAAACTGCCAAGTAAGAGATTTTAACATTCAAAATCCCAGGAAAAAATACTATTGTTATTGAACTAATTAATTAAATATTTTACAGAACATCAATGAATACTTCCTTAAGCATTCCGCCACCGTTAAGGACATAGAAGTGTTGACTGGACTCAAATTTTTTACGTCATTATCACCTTATACGGCAATAGCCTTACAGACTCGTTTGACTGACTACGAATGGTTTAACGTGAAATGAATTGAATTAAATTTTTTTGTGTAATTTATTACTCGAAAATTACCTTTAATTTCGTTATCTTGTATACACAGCATTAATTTTAAAAACACATACACGATGAATTAAAATATACTTATCGTAATTATATTAAGAGTAAAATTCTGTAATTAGGTCGAATTTGCACATAAACAAAATAAGCTGCAGCTTAGGACCTCGCGTTATGATTGTATAGTTTAAGACAGTGGTTTCTCGAATGTGTATATATATCATTATTTAATGGAGGGGAAAAGGCCTGTTATTCTTAGGGCCTCAATAAATTTAAGCTCAACCTTGTCTATCTGCAGTGCATTCAAATTTAATTACAGTAGAGCGTCGTTTATCCGAATCAATTGGGGACAGGGGTTGTTCGGATAACTTATTTTTCGGATAACCGATTATGTACGAAAAAATATATTACCCTATCCCGTGTTGAAATTTTTCTCCGTTGCGTGTCGCTTCGCGTTGAATTTTCGTCGATGTTAAGCCTAACGTAAACTTTTTAAAACAATAATCGTGGCTATTGTATCGTTAAAAATGATTTCTTTATGTTTTACAAATGAAATAAATACATTGAAAAATATAAAAACAAATAAAAATTATACTTTAGGCCGACTGGAATTCTTTCGGATAACCGACTTTCGGATAAACGACGCTCTACTGTATAAAGTAAATCGAGAAAGTAAATATAAATTCTCAGTTATTCGAGATAACGATACCAAAGAGCCAATGGCGGAAGAAATCTTTAGAGAGGGTACAGAAAGGAAACAATGTATGCCTTACAAAATTTTTACTATCTTAGGTGCCTGGCTTTACTCGGGAAAACCCTCAGAAGGGGAGCTGAGCCTTGAGCACACCCTTAAATCCGCCCGTTAGAGCAGGTCTTATCTTACTATTTAGAAGTGGAAAGACTGCCAACCGAATGGCCCTGATGATTAAGGGTCACCTTACTGCTCTGGAGACCCAAGATCGGATCAAGCAAACGAAAAAAACCCTGGGAATTTTAAAAAATAAATCCGTTAGAACAAATAAGCGATCGGACATGTGCTTTAAACTCGGCCACACGATCAAATAGGCAATTGTAAAATCGATCATAGAAGCACCCAGAGAATAGGCTAAGTAAAGTTTGCCGAAAAATCGGTCAAACAACGACCATTTAATAAATATGACAATTAGATCTAATACATTCTAAAAATCTCTTACCCGAGTGTTCAACACTGAATCACCAGAGGAGCGAGACTTCACAAGTATAGTGTTGTTACCAATCATAAGTATTCGAGCCAACTAGCAACAGATCTCTGTAGTCCAAAACGACAACAATAATATCCAGTTTATCCAAAAGATAAATATAAAGATAATAATTATAAATAAAGTAGATCTACAACTGAATAACTTTTTATCATGAACGAGTCTAATCATAATAAAATACAGTCAAACTTCGGTTTACGAACTTAATTCGTTCCTAAAAGTTGTTCGGAAACCGATCTGTTCTCAAACCGAAACAAATTTTTCCATAAGAAACAATGTAAAATGAATTAAGGAACGGTGGCAGTTTCAAGAAAAAATTTGCAACGCAAACGTGGGCAATTCATTACATAATTTCGGAAAATTCAACCCCGATGACATCGATTAATCTAGGTAGACACTGTTTATTTATAAAACTTATAATTTTTTCAGACAATTATCATCCAAACAGTAAGTATATTTGATACCGTTAATTGTCAAACAATCGACTCTCAATCTTTACCCCAAGTTCTTGCCTTGTTATTAAAGGTGATATATTTCCGAATCTCGATCTCGAGGTAAATCATCAAATATCCTGACATTTGCAAATTTATTCACCGAACGAATCAATTTGACTTTTACAAACATTAATTTTATCAGCTATGGATAACATCATTATCTTAACCAAAATCGTTAAATCCACACGAATTCTCCCAGATCCTCCAGAACGGTAGGTTGCTACCGCTCGGCCTCTGAGCTGTTCTTCGACAGTTTTAGGTATTAAAGACCATTTCTTCGAGAAAATAAAAGATCTATCGGAGAAATTAACTTAAAAACTTGGACATAACTTAACAAATCATCTGCCAGGCTCCGAAAATCAGAAACTATCATAATTTTCGTCTTTCAGCTCATGGCACTGACTATGTAGATGATAATATAAAAGCATGGCTGTGGAGTCGGAGTCGTGGAGTTTTGGTGTTTTAGTCGGAGTCGTCAGAACATCCGCCGACTCCGACTCCTTTTTTACTTCCCAACTTATTATGTATATAAGACGGAAAAGTATTGGAATCATGTCAAATTTGACCCTCCGAGGTTTATGCAAATCTACACGTTTGGAGACCTCCTGAACCCAAAAAATGTCAAATAAAGGGGGAAAATTCGTGTGTGTGTTGGCGTCTAATTTGTTTAATTTCTTTATTCTCTGTTCTGAGATAGTAAAACAATATCTCAGAATGGGTAATGTTTAAGAAACTAAATTTGGCACAGTAGCTCGTGTATAAAAGGGCATTAATGCTATTAAATTTTGGTTCTTAATTAAAGGTAGACAAGGTGGAAACATAGAAGGAGTCGTGTCATATCTCCAGTGTAGTCGGATTTAATGAATATTTTACTGGTTATTAGAATCCACAATTTTTTTTTTATAAAACTCGCCTCAAAATTGTCATTTTATAATAGTACAGTAAAACCCGTTAAAGATGTTCTCGCCTGAGATGTTAGAATGTGTATGGGGGCACGATTTAGTTCAACCACTTTGAAGCTTAATAACTTTGTGTTAAACCATCCGACTGCGATTTAAAAACTACAGATGTGATTAGGCTTCAAACTGGGCGAACAAAATCGTGCCTCACACAAACAGTCTAACATCCATACATACAAAAAAAAATCCGAATCTTTTGCATATATCGACATTTCAAGGTGTCCTGAGTCCAAACTTATAAAAATTTAGGAGGGGTCATTTTTTGACCGATCGCTACACTGGAACTTTGTTATACATAACAGCAGGAAAAGTAAAAATTATCGAATTATATATTGACTGTGTCATTACTTAGAGGAGACTGTTTTAGATTTGAAATAAAAAAGTTTGTACGTTCTATTTTATTAGAATTCTATTTATTGAATCTTTTATTCTGAGATCACGTGATGACGTCAGAATTTCCGGGTCTATTTTGGTAACAAGTCTTCCCCTGGTTGAAGTCGGAGTCGGTAGATTTTTACTTCGACCAGGATTTAGATTTTTACGACTCCACAGTCCTGTATAAAAGTGAAAACTTATTTATTAACTCTTTTTGTCATTTCTTTGAAAACAAAGCTTTTCTACCTTCACTTCCATTAAATGCTCTATATTTGCTCCTAAAAGTATTTGTGTAAATTAATTGTGTACTACAGTAATATTATCAAGACATGCTTCCAAAAAAGATTAATTCCAAATTAGATAGTAAGGAGACTCCAAGCAAGAATACTTAAGGCTATGGCCATGCAGACAGCGAGAACTTCGTAGCGATATCGCTCTCGCAAATATCTTTCTTTCTTTCTTTTTCTTTCAGTAGATAATAGTTCATATGGAGTCTTATGGCTTTACACCTTTACTCCGAGAGACTTGTGGTTGGTCGCTATGCGACCGAAGAGCCGGCCCCACAGAATGGCCCAATCACGAGCGGGAAAAGAATGCCTTCTGGAGGACTTTTATGGGAAACTGGCCCCTATTCAGGCGTCATCAACATAGAGAAAACCCAGAAAACTCCATGCTGCCAGCCCGTCCGAGCCTCTCGCAAATATCAGACACTATTTCATTTTTATTGCGATTTGAAGTTCTCTCTTTATATAAGTACTATGCTTGCGCATTATCTCCTTGCCTCGTTTTCGGTGTGTATAATTCAAACATGGCTTCTTCAGCATATAAGGACAAGAATAAAAATGATTAATCTCTAAGAAAACTTTAATTAATTCAGTTATCCAGAAATATGGGATAAGCGATTTAAAGTCATCGAAATAGAGATACTGTGTGTTGTCGTTGATCCGTTTTCTTTGTATACTCCTGAACGAAAGGGAAAAATTCACGCAAATGCACAATAACGTTAGCGACAGCGAAAAACAAGAAAGAGAAACGCAATTTTATGACGAATCGGCGGAAAACTCAGCAATTAATACCATGCTAATCATAGGAGCAATACACATTAAAGCAATACACACATACACACTTATACTGTAAGCGTTTTTAAACGGTTCCAGATTTCGTAATACTGCTTGTATATTGCCAGTTTTACTCATTTGGCGAGCGACATTGCTTGCTCGACGAGATAATATATTTCGGTGGAGGGATGGAGGAAGAAGTATGGGATGAGAGACTCGAACGGGACTGTCAATTTCACCAATCGAAAAAATATATATACAGTGGGTGATCGGTTAACGAACATAATTCGTTCCAAGACTTTGTTCGCTATCCGAATTGTTCGTTAACCGATTATCGATTTACGATAGGTTTTAATGGGAATTTAATTAATTCGTTCTGGAGATCGCCAAAAATAAAAAAATATATACTTTCTTACTACGTTTATTTATACATAATAATAAAAATACATACATGCACAATCTTGCGTTTTTATTAGTCATGTTTTTTCCGTTTGAAAGGGTTAAAGAATCTGTCTAATGTAGATTGTTTTTCTCTCTTCTTCAGGATTTTTCGTAAGTAATTAATAGGATTGCAATTGTAGAAATCCCCAAGCCTCAACCTGGTTTGGATGCCATTCTAAGACCGTTGTTCTGACATCTTCCCATTTCTTCAAAAGATCTTTAATAGCAAATATCGGCATTAATCCTCTTTTTCAGAAGAAGATTCGCCGAGTTTCTTGGTGTTCTTCATTCTAGAATTTTTGACGTTCTTTTGTCGTCAGATCCGTTTCAGGTTCCATTATGAACTCTTCGATGTTCTTTATTTCTCAGATGTGACTTTTGTTACTCCTTTACCTGCTCGAGTCTTCCTGATTATACAGTATTTTTCCTAAATAAGATTGAACTACGGC